CTGAACCAGATTCCACTGGCATTTTTTAATGAGATGGAGAAACAAATCACCAACATCATATGAAAAGGGAAGAGGCCCAGGATAAGTAAAGCATTACTCAAGAAGAAGAACAAAGTGAGAGGTCTTACACTACCTGATTTTAGGACCTATTATACTGCCATGGTAGTCAAAACAGCCTGGTACTGATACAACAACAGATACATAGTCCAGTGGAAAAGAACTGAGAATCCAGAGGTAAATTCATCCACCTATAAGCAGCTAATATTAGACAAAGTCCCAAAATCCATTAATTGGGGAAAAGGCAGTCTCTTTAACAAATTGTGCTGGCATAACTGGATATCCATCTGCAAAAAACTGAAACAAGACCCATACCTTACGTCATGCAGAAAAACTACTCAAAATGGATCAAAGACCCAAATATAAAATTTAAAATGATAATAATCATGGAAGAAAAAATAGGGACAACGCTAGAAGCCCTAAAACATGGCATAAACAGAATGCAAAACATTACTAACAATGCAGAAACACCAGAAGAGAAACTAGATAACTGGGAGCTCCTAAAAATCAAACACTTATTCTCATCCAAAGACTTCACCAAAGGGGTAAAATGACAACATACAGACTGGGAAAAAAATTTGGCTATGACAAATCTGATCAACATCTAATCTCTAAAATCTACAAGATACAGCAAAACCTCAAGAACAAAAATACAAATAACCCAATTAAGAAATGGGCAAAGAATATGAACAGGCACTTCACCAAAGAAGATACTCAGGCAGCTAACAGATAACATGAAGAAATGCTCACGATCATTAGCCATTAGAGAAACGCAAATCAAAACTACAATGAGATACCATCCCACGCCAACAAGGCTAGCATTAATCCAAAAACACACAAAATAATAAATGCTGAAGAGGTTGTGGAGAGACTGGAACACTTATACACTGCTGTTGGGAATGTAAAATGGTACAACCACTTTGGAAATTGATTTGCGGCTTCTTTGAAAAGCTAGAAACAGAAGTATCACACGATCCAGCAATCCCACTCATTGGAATATATCCTACAGAAATAAGAGCTCGTCACATGAATAGATATATGTATATCCATGTTCATTGCAGCACTGTCGACAATAGCAAAAAGATGGAAACAACCTAGGTGCTCATTAACAGACAAATGAATAACCAAATTATGGTATATTCACACAATGGAATACCACCCAACAATAAAGAACAATGATGAATCAGCAAAACGTCTTATAACATTATGAATTCAGAAGGTGTTATGCTGAGTGAAATTAGTCAGTTGCACAAGGACAAATTTTGTATGAGACTATTATCATAAAAACTCAAGAAGAGGTTTAAACACAGAAGAAAACATTCTCTGATGGTTACAAGGGTGGAGAGGGAGAGAGAGGGGTATTCACTAACTAGATAGTAGATAAGAATTGTCTCAGTTGAAGGGAAGGACAACACACAATACAGGGGAAGTCAGCACAACTGGACTAAACCAAAAGCTAAGAAGTTTCCTGAATACAACCAAACACTTTGGGAGACAGAGTAGGAGGGGCAGAGGTCTGGGGACTGTGCTTTCAGGGGACATCTAGGTCAATTGGCATAACAAAGTTTATTAAGAAGATGTTCTGCATCCCTTTTTGGTGAGTGGCATCTGGGGTCTTAAAAGCTAGTGAGTGGCTATCTAAGATGCATCAATTGGTCCCAACCCACCTGGAGTAACGGAGAATGAAGAACATCAAATACACAAGGAAAATACTAGCCCAAGAGACAGAAAAGGCCACATAAACCAGAGACTCTATCAGCCTGAGACTAGAAGAACTAGATGGTGCCCGGCTACCACCAATGACCGCCGTGACAAGGAACACAACAGAGAGTCCCTGATGGAGCAGGAAAAAAGTGGGGTGCAGAACTCAAATTCTAGTAAAAAGACCGGAGTTAATGGTCTGACTGAGACTGGAAGGATCCCAGAAGACATGGCCCCCAGACTCTGTTAGCCCAGAACTGAAATCATTCCCGAAGCCAACTCTTTAGACATAGATTAGACTGGACTATGGGACATAAAGTGATACTCATGAAGAGAGTGCTTCTTAGCTCAAGTAGATACATGAGACTAAATGGGCAGCTCCTGGGGGTGGAAAGGAGTGTACTGTCACATTATAGAGCAACTACATACAATGTGTCATGGATTGAATTATGTCCCCCAAAAAACGTGTGTATCAGGTTGGCTGGGCCATGATTACCTGGTATTGTGTGGTTTTCCTATATGTTGTAAATCTTGCCTCTATGATGTTAATGACGGAGGATGGGCTACAGTTGTGTTAGTAAAGCAGGACTCAGTCTACAAGATTGGATTGTATCCTGAGGCAATGTCTTGAGATATAAAAGACATAAGTGAGCAGAGAGACAGGGGGACCTCATACCATCAAGAAAGCAGTGCCAGGAGCAGAGAGCGTCCTTTGGACCCGGGTCCCTGTGCCAAGAAGCTCCTAGTCCGGGGGAACACTGATGCGAAGGCAGAGAGAGAGAAAGCCTTCCCCTGGAGCTGACACCCTGAATCTGGACTTTTAGCCTACTTTACTGTAAGAAAATAAACTTCTCTTTGTTAAAACCACCCATTGTGGTATTTCTGTTATAGCTGCACTAGATGACTAAGACAGAATGTGTGTATAAATTTTTGTATTAGAAACTGACTTGAACTGTAAACTTTTACTTAAAGCATAATTTATTAAAAAAAAAAAAAAAAAAAAGAGAGAGAGAAAGAGAGACTAACTGGGCACACCAGCCCAGGGGCAAGAAGGAGATGGCAGGAGGGGACAGGAAAGCTGGTAATGCGGAACCCAAGGTTGAGATGGGGAGTGTTGCTGACATGTTGTGCGGCCGGCAACCGATGTCACAAATCAATATGTGTATTGATTATTTAATGAGAAACTAGTTTGCTCTGTAAACGTTCATCTAAAGTACCATAAAAAAATTAAAAATTATAATTGTTCTTACTCATGAGGACCCCATGTGTGAGAGTAGAACTGTGCTCCATAGGGTTTTCAAGCCTATGACCTTTCAGAAGCAGTTTGCCAGGCCTTACTCCAGAGGTGCATCTTGGTGGGTATGAATGCCAACCTTCTGCTAATACTGGAGCACGTAACGGTTTGCGCCACCAAATTATAATAGTAGCTATAATTCAGTTTTCCATTTTGAACTTAAAAAAAGCACACTGCTCATGTTCTTGGTATTTTGCTTCAAAACCAACATTATAGTGTATTTTAGGAGATAATTGAGATGAATAATATACATTAAGTTTTGCCTTCAACCTAATTTAAATTGTTTACACATTCATGGGAAAAACCTAGCTGTTAACCTTGGTGGGTGTCTTTTGAGGTTGCTGCTCTACTAGATAAACAGATTTCTCCCAATTAGAAGTATAGTCTGCATTTTCATACAGTGAGAACTGTTGTATATAGGTCGGTAACAAGTAAAAGGACACTTTAAGTTATAGATCAGTGATTCCCAAATTTTAGCCTGCATCAAAACCACCTGGAGAGCTTGTTAAACCATAATCGCTGGGCCCTCCCCCTGAGCTCCAGGTGATGCCAATGCTGTTCTAGTCCAGGGACCAGAGTTTTTGAATGCCAGTTTGCAGGTCGTTTCTTTTTTAAAGGCAAAATCGAGTTCCCGCAGATTCAGTGTAAAACCAGAAATTTGTTTCAAAATCCACCACGTAAGTTGGCAGGCCCAAAATTAGTCTTACCAGTTGTTTTGCCTCCTTTGCCAACAAGTTACCCAACCCCGCTCACCGCCCTCCTCTCCCAGGTTATACAAATAAACTGGGCTCCGACGCCCTCCGAGCTCCTGGACCGCACGACCCAGCTCGCCCAGGTGTGGGGCTGCATTCAGTGTAGGTACGTTCGGTTCAGCCTTGCAAACCCTTGATGTCAGCTGAACATTTTAGGGGAACTTTAAAGGAGATTTTTTTTTTTTTTACACTTCCCTCGTACGTAGCTCTCATCACATTTCGTACAGAATCTGTTTAAGTCCTGAGACCCCTTCCACCGCAGCTCGGGACGCCTGGGGCTCCCTAAGTGTCTTTTCGTCCCCCGGTGGTCTCCCCTCGGCTCCATCCAGAGTCTCTGACTTCGTAAAGTCCGGTAGCCGGAAAGCGTGGGCCTACGGGTAAGAAGGCTCCTAGGCAGGGCGCTCGGAGCCGCCGAGGCCGCGGGCGAGCGGGCGAACGCGGCTCGGGACGCCCGGCGCCGGCCGCTGCTGTTACCCCGCGGCGGCCCTAGAGGAGCCCGCGAAACCACGGCGGCGCAGAGCCCCGCGCGGGAGGGACGCGGAAGGCCGCGGGTGAAGCTTGCGGGCCGACCGCAAGCTCGGCGCCCTTCGCTCACGGAACGCTCCGAGGCGCGCCGGGGAGCGGACGGGGAGGATCGGTCGTGAAGGTGCTTTGTCGGGAACTATCGCTATCACGGTAGCTGTGTGACGCAGGCTGGGGAAAGAACTGGAGAGAATGAAAGCGACGGAGCCCCGTGGGCTCTCCCGCAACTCAGGGAGGCCGCAGCTTTCTCCCCGTCGGCGGTAGCTCAGCCACGCTCGCAGCGGCCACAGGCAGCAGTGAACGCCGGATAGGCAGCGCTACCACAACGTACCGACTCCTTCAGCAGCGACGGAGCTCGCGCCTTATATATGTTGCTAAAAATAGCTTGCGATGCAGCCTACCAATCAGACGAGGGGAAATTTCGAATTGAGCCAATAGTAAAGGTTGTGATGGAGAGGCTCGGTCACGCCAGGCGGGGCAGCTGTGTATTGCAACCGGAGATTGGTCGAAGCTGACATCATAGGTGCTCAACTTCCAGGACGGGTATGTCGCGATTGGGCCGCTTGTAGAGCCAGCGCAGAGCTAGTCACGTGGGGGGAGGGGAGAAGTGGGGGGAGCCAAGGCAGAAGGAGGAGGAGGAGGAGGAGGGAGGGGGGAGAGGCTGGCAGAAGAGCTTTGAATAGGGAAGTTTTGCAGGGGTTACGTTTGCAGTCAGTTCAGTGTTTGCAAATATTGTGTAGGTTCCTGAGCAAGTCTCTGTGATCCAGGAGAATCCGAATTTGAGGCGTCTAATTGCTGTGCAGTTGAGTTTGCATGAAACTTTCACCTCCTCTGCAGGAATTGACTCTTGTGATTTCGGGAGAGAGTTTTACATCTCTCTGACTACAGACCACACACCTCCCTATTTTTACAACAGAATTGACTTTATTTTCCAACCCGACATGGATGTACTCCCAATGTGCAGCATCTTCCAGGAACTCCAGATTGTGCATGAAACGGGTTACTTCTCAGCTTTACCATCCCTGGAAGAATATTGGCAACAGGTAAATAGGGATTTTAATATACAAGGCGCTGAGTTAAAAAGAATGCCCAGTGTCCCCGGTACACTGAGGGAGGAGTGGATGGAGGAAAAAATTAAGATTGTGTGTGATTGGAGGTGTATTATTATTTTTTTTATTGTTTGGGTAATTTTTAAAATGAAGGTAATTAGTTTTTAAATTTAGCCGTAATGCCTCTGGTTCCGAAGGCACTTGAAATGGCTTTTACAACCTGAAGCGGAGTTGTCATTTAAGTAAAGCGGAGCGACAATTCGTCGTTCCCAGAGTGTTTTTGCCGTTTTGGATCTTCTAAACAGCAACCACCAGAGTGGAACGCCAACCTCCTCAGTTTTGCTTTCGCTCGATCCCGTACTGAGCGAGCCCTTGGCAGAAGTTTTGTGCTTGTACCTGGTCCAAACTCCACAGCTGGATCTTGTCATACGAACTTGTATTTACTGGCAAGGGATTTTTTTTAAGCGATTTTGTTTTTGTTTTGGTGTTTATACATGTACGTTTTAAATTTAAAATTTTGCCGGTGAAAAAGCCATCAGCTCTTTTTTCCTATGTCATTTCCAATTTCTTTTACCTCTTTGGAATCCCTAAGATTTGCCTAAATCTGCCTTATTTTTCTTACCTGTTTCTCTTGTTGACCAGGAAAAAAAAAAAAAATGTTTGCACAACCAGTGACTTGTCAATCATATGACAATGAGCCTGCCCTAATTGCTTCAAGTCTTGGTTTGGGAAGAACCTCGGTTTCCGGCATTTTAGTGGGACTGGATTTTTTGGCGTTGGAAATTTAAGAAACTTATTTCTTAACCCCCTTAAATCTGTAGGATTGCTGGAGGGAAGAGAAACCCTGACACTTGTCCCATTGTCTTTAAAAAGATATAAGGAGGGTTTGGTGTCTTTTGTGCTGTTTCCTTTTTGTCACCAAGCGAATTACCAGCTCAGATATATTCTGGTAGTTTCAAAGCCAGGAGAGCTTTTAATGCAGATGAAATGCAAAGTGTTGCAGCCTTCACATGCCTGCTTAATTGTTCACAATCCTCTCTTGCCTTACTCTTCCCCTCCCCCCTTTTTCCTCCTCAAAGAAGCTGCTCCATAGTAGTGATTGAAATTGATCTAAGTAGTTTCCTTCGGGCATTTGGGATTTGAGCAAAAAGCCAGACTTGGCTCCTGGTCTCCTTCAGAGGCATTTAAACTCACCGAGAGCTTCGTTCTCGTCCCTAGTGCTCACTACATAATGGAGATTTTGAATTAGCCAGATTATTAAAGTTTATCAAGATCTCAATAAATGTGCTTTCCTTTTTTTTATGGAACACTGATAAAATATATTGCTGTCTCTCTTCAGAATACGTTAGTATGCATTGCAACTCAAATGTCTAGTTTGAGGTGTAAAGAGAAAACAATTATTTTGTTTTCTCCCTAGCTTGCCCATGCTTGATATGTGATGAGTGGGGAAGGGGGGAGAATATGTACAGTATTATAAGAGAAGGCACATCGCGAAGAGCGAGCTCTTTGGATAGGCTTTGCTTAAAGCCGGGAAGGTTATCTGTCCTGAAAATGATTTGCTTAAAAGAGCAGAGTTTGGTATAGACATTTACATGTGTGGAATTGCCGGTCTTATAGACAACCTTATATGGACATACAGGCAACTAACCCTGGTGGAAATGAGGGAAAAAATCATTTAATCCTAAAATGTGTCCTACCATTTTTCTTTTCCAGTGGCTAGAAAGTTTGAAATGGTGGGGAGAGGGGATGCTGATCTCGGCAGTTGTAGCTTCTTGAAAGGTTGGTTGTGGGGGCTGGGGAGGGGGCCCACTCTCTACATGACACACTGCATGTATATTTGAACCAAATACTTTCTTGGCCTTTGGTCAGAATTTCAAAAGGAAGTCTCCTTTGGCATTGCGTGAAAGAAATAGAGTGATGACTCATGCAGTTGTACTCTTGGCCAGTAGATAAAGTTCTTGTTCATTGTGGGACTCCCAGCAGGGCCGTGGAGTAATTTCCCCTCTTGCATACTTTACAATAGCATATGGCCATTCTGGAATGATTTCTCCACTCGTGCTGTTGAAATGCCTTGTTTTTCTCTGACCACTGTAGAAGTCATTAAAGTTTGGTGGTGTACATGGCCCTGCACTTGGAAATGGCATCCTTTGAAAGCCTCTGAGGTCTCTGATACATAGGAAATGAGTGGTTTATCTGCCCTCCACTGATGTCCCTGAGTACACATTGTCAGCTAGCTGCTATCTTGCTCCAGTGTGGCATTGTGCTGTCAGCTCTGTTTTCAAGGGAGTCAGTCAGACCACACTGCGTGCAGGGCTGTCTTTCTGCCCTGTTGTATGAATATGTGTCAGCATGTGAAGGGTGAATGGCTTTGACTTTCTTTAATGAAGATGGTTCTTGAGAATGTCAGATAATCTGGTTAAACCTGTTGGGGGTGAATGTGCGTGCGGCTGGCTTTCTTTGTGTGGTTTACGGGAAACTCATTAGAAATGTCAACACTGGTAACTATAACAAAAACTGGCTCAATGAGCATCACTCATTTTGGTCATTAGTCCAATGTTTGAAAAGCCAAGAGAGGTTTCACCCTCTGTTGTTTTCTTTTGAATCCTTACCCGTAATTCCTAGAAACAAATTTTTTCTAACTTTGAGAAAGACACCTATTCTCAATTATAAAAGGTTTTTCACCCGCAGTGATACTGCAACAGCCCATTTGTTCTCCCATTCCTGCATGTGTTTGCAAATGTGCTCTCAGTTCCATTTTCAGCAATTGTAACAATCACATCCCTTTTTTTGGCTCCTTTTGCACAGACCTGCCTAGAATTGGAACGTTACCTCCAGAGCGAACCCTGCTATGTGTCAGCATCAGAAATCAAATTTGACAGCCAGGAAGATCTGTGGACCAAAATCATTCTGGCTCGGGAGAAAAAGGAGGAATCTGAACTGAAGATTTCTTCTAGTCCTCAAGAGGACACTCTAATCAGCCCAACTTTGAGTTACAATTTAGAGACCAACAGCTTGAATTCGGATGTGAGCAGTGAATCATCTGACAGCTCCGAAGAACTTTCACCTACTACTAAATTTACCTCTGATCCAATAGGCGAAGTTTTAGTCAATTCAGGAAATCTGAGCTCCTCTGTCACTTCCACTCCTCCTTCTTCTCCAGAACTGAGCAGAGAACCTTCTCAACTGTGGAATTGTGTACCCGGGGAATTGCACTCACCGGGTAAAATCCGTAGTGGGACTGTGGGAAAGCCTGGTGACAAGGGCAGTGGCGACACCTCCCCAGATGGCAGGAGGAGAGTCCATCGGTGCCACTTCAATGGCTGCAGAAAAGTTTACACCAAAAGTTCCCATTTGAAAGCACATCAGCGCACTCATACAGGTCAGTAACCTCATGTATACCAAAGGAGTTGGGACCGCTGGGGCTGAATACCCCAATGGTAGTGTTGTCATTGAATTACACAAGCCCTGGGTGAGAGCCCAGAGCTTTGAATGATGCTGTCATTGCAGAGCCTTACTAGTATTCACAACCTCACTTCCTCATTCTTTCCACAAAAGAACTGGACCTTTTTGGAATATAGAGTAGAATCTTAAAGACTGGATATTTGTGCTGGATGAATGGTTAACACTTGCAGATTAAACAAACAAGAAGCTAAATTATGTTCTCTATCTATACTCAATCCTCCACCCACCCCAGCAATCCAGTTTACTAAGGGTATATTGTACCCATTCAACCCTTTTCCATGGATAATGTTATCTTGAGTTATCATTAATTTTTTGACTTGAAACTCGAAGGTCAAGACAGACAGTCTCTAGGCGATGAGGAGCTCACTCCTGTTTACAGTGAGAGTGAGGGCTGAGCATGACTGACATACTCTGCAAGAAGCAATATTGATCTGGGGCTGTTTATTGAGAATTTCTCTGTGTGTAGCACCGTGTGTCATGCAGCCTTTGTTTCCTGATTCCACTTAAAAAGAAATCTTAACATTACTACAACATTGCTAAGTTCCATTTTAGAATAACATGGCAATCTATAGGATAATTGGTTAAAAGTCACAGAAATTGTAGAGGGGAAGGATGTCAGAGATCAACTCATTCAAACTCTTGTCTTACAAATAATGAAAGCAGATCCCCATGGGATGAAGTCAGGGCCAAATGGATTGATGACACAGCTGAGATTAGGACCTGGGGATTCTGAAAACCAGGCCAGTGTCTTTTTCAACACCACACTCTGTGATTGGTTTTTGGATTTTTTTATATTCTCCGGTGGCACTTTTATTAAATTTATATTTGTAATTTGACTGGGGAAGAAAGTTCATTTGGTATTTGATTGCCGTTTAGAAAGTTATTTGAAACCTTTGGAGTGGGATTTCACAGAAACTCATAGCTTCAGTTTTGGAGAAATGTAGAAAGTCCCAGAGGAAACTACAAAGCCTCATTCCACAGGGAAGTGAGTAAGGAACAAAATAAGTAATTGAGAGAAACAGTTTCCATGGAGAAAGCAATAAAACTGTGGCCTTGACAAGGTTGTTATTCCAGTAGGCTGACACATCATCTCGGAAGTATTTCACCAATCTGAGTAATTGTCATTCTTACGTGTTCACTTTGATTGCAATAATGTGACTTTGGCCAAACCTGGGGTCACTTCTACAACACTTAGGGTACTGAGGCCAGGTCAGAAAAGAGCTCATGCTGGTTACCCTATTATCATGAGATACTGACCTTTCCTGAAGTGTGAATGAATTCTTGAGGCCTCTCAGACCCCGAACTTGTAATGAATTAATTTGCATACTGCTGCTTGCACAGTATTGTTGTAACACCCATATTCCCTCACTGTTTCAATGAAGTCATGGCGAACTTGTCATATGCTTTCTTTGTAGGAGAAAAGCCTTACAGATGCTCATGGGAAGGATGCGAGTGGCGTTTTGCAAGAAGTGATGAGTTAACCAGACACTTCAGAAAGCACACTGGTGCCAAGCCTTTTAAATGTTCTCACTGTGACAGGTATGTGAATGAGGTCTGTGCTTGCAAAGAGGCATAGGTACACAGTTGTACAGTAACCAGAATCTAGAAGGCATGTAGTAAATATTGGAAGAAAGGAAGATTTTTTTCCCCCTGTAGTTGATTAACATTTCTTTTTCAAATCTAAGACTTTTTTTAAAAAAAGTATATGCTAATTTTTCAATTAGGAATTATTGTACCACATGTGCATGCAAATAAAGTAATTTCATCTATACTTTTTGAAGATTGCCCTTCAACAGTTTTCAAATTTGAAGATTAATGTTCTCCTAAGAACCGAGCAACTGCTGGTTTAAGACCTCCTTTAATTTATATTTCGTAAGTTGAAATTTCCTGTCCCTGAAAAACTTGTAAGGAATCAGACAAGATTCCCACCTTTGGTTTCAGTGGAGATTGAGGGTCTCTCATACGGGAAGTTAGGCAGTTCGTCTAAAAACAAAGTGAGTGATGTCCAGCTGACTTCTTGTACTCTTATTTCCTCTTGCAGGTGTTTTTCCAGGTCTGACCACCTGGCCCTTCACATGAAGAGACACCTCTGAGAGAGCAGAGGGGCGAATCCTGTGGGCTAAAAGGCGTCAAGGCTGAGACCCGGCCTTGGAAGGAGGGATGCGTGTTCCAGCCAAAGCATGCCATTTTGCACCCTACCCAGTTGCCTCCAGGACCTCTCCTTGGAAGGTCTTTCGAGGGCTAAAAAAGTCATGTAAGAAGCGGCATAGCAACCATGGTGCATGATGTTTGGGTGATCCTGGACTCGTCACTGGTACCTAACCTTCTGAGTGGCTCCTAAGCCTTTGCCGTGAGCATGTGCACTGAGAATGTTAATGGGTGGGTTGACTGTATGTTGAGGATCTATTACTGATTGTATGATGAGGCCAACTTTTTTTCCTTGTGGTAACAGAACTACAAGAGACAGAAAAAAAGGTGTTTGTATGTTTTGTGTGTAAGAAGTATACCATGAGATGAGATGACCACCAATCATTTCCTGGGGTGGGGGGTATCTGCACCTTAGAAAAAAAAAACAAAAAAAAAAACAAAAAAAAGGACAAATATGGAGGGCGGGGGTGGGCAGCCAGGACCCCTGAGTGACGAGTGGGTGTGGGGAGGGGAGCCCCTCTCTGGTGTGAGAGGTGCTTTTGGTGTCTGGTGCAGCTATTGAACGTGCAATGTGTCAAGTAGCTTGTTTTACTTGCTACAGAGCTCATTTGTAATCCATTGTATAAGCTGTATATTTACAGATATAATACAATTATAACTTCTCCTTATAATACAAAAGTAATGCATGGTTCTGGGGAACTCTATGCTTTTCCATTTTTCAATCAGGACTGCAATTTTGATCCCGGTTAATGAGCAGCTAAGATTCAATTTGTCTAATATGGTGATTCCTCGCCATCTTGGCCTGGCAAGACGCAATTTTTTTCCCCTTTCAACTTTGTAACACTGCCCTTCCAGAAAGGTGTTGTGCAGCCTAGAATTATTTTTTAAATGATTGTGAATTTGAGTTAACCTTTTTGGAGATTTTTGTGATGCCCTTTGAAGAAATTGGACACATGTTAGGGTGTCAGAAAGCCAGGCTGGGAATTGCTAGTCTAATGTTACATTAGATGAAGAAGCTAAAATTTTTCTCAGTTGGGTGGATAAAAACCACTAAAAGCTTAGAAACTGTTTTTCTCATGCAGCTAAGTTTCTCTTATTTATGCCTTGAGGACTAATTTCTGGTTTTCTAGCTGTTAATGCACTGTTGACCTTAATAATGGTGCCTTATGCAAGTGACCCCTTATATGGGGGGGGTCTCATACAGGGGTATGGGTGATGCATGCTTTATTAAGGCTCTTTTTTCACCTGGCATTGTACTGTATCAATGTATAATACAGAAAAAAAAAAAATCCTTTTAAGGTCCTCCTTCACAAGGACAAGTAGAGATATGAGAACTCCCTTAATATGTCAGTATTTGTTTGATATTTTAGACAACTTGACTGTCATTGTTAAAACGGAAAACACATCATAATGGAAAAATCTGACCAACTCTGCCACCGTGAGACTGTCATATAAACCGTGCACAACAATTGTATAGATAACACACCCAGCTGTATTTAATATGTACCATTTTCACACATATTAAAGATACAGAATTCTAAAAAAATAATGCCAACGTATTTGCTTCAAAGGCACAAGTTTCACATATCTATCTATCTGTTGGTAGCACCAAAAGTATACTACTTTTTTTAAAAAGTGGGCGGAATTTTTGTGTATGTATATTTGTGTGTATGTGTATGTGTGTATATATATAAATATATATATATAGATAATATATAAATATTTTTTTTAAGGAGAAACTAGAATGGTTAGCTAGAAAATTCCACAGCCTGTGAAGAAGTATTTCAAAATGGCCAGAAAGGAGGTAAAAATGATAACTATAATTTTTATAGAGGCTTTACCTTTAATTTAATGATTTGCCGAAGATGTTCTTGGCTTTGAATCTATTCCAGACTCTTGACTTTGGTGGTGTCATCATGGGTATGTTTGGAATAGGGTACCCTTGGCCATTAAGAAATGGCATAGACAGAATACTGGCACACTAGTTGGACTCAAACACACTAAGGTTTTGATTTTTAATTTCAGCCTTATTAGAAGATCTCACCTAACAGTAAGCTAATTACAGGGATTCTTTTTTAGAACACTTTTTATGCAGATGAAGCTATTTTTTTCCAGCATGTAGAGTCTCCCAGTTTTTCAAACGAGTGATTTCCCCAAGTTGGCATACCGCAGCATGGGCAGCTGATATTTCATCCAGCTGTTGGCTTGTGGGTGTGGATCTTTTCTTTATATATATATATATATATATATACATATATACATATATATACGTACATATATATATACATATGAGTCTGGCTGTGCTGGTATTTTGTTTGATCTTCCCGGAAATGAGCAATGATTAAAGCTCACAATACTGGTTTTTTATCTGGTCTGAGGAATACATTTACCAAAATAACTCATTCCATTTTGCTTAGGGAGAAAATGCACTTTTCTTTTGGCAATTCAAAATCCAAGCATTTGATTTGCTGGGTTTTGGAAAACTCCTTTTTTGGCCATGCTGTGTGCTTAGCCATAACAATTCCATTAAGCAAGAAGGTAAACAAAAGACAAAAAAAAAAAAAAAAAACTTGCACTGGCTTGTTTCACTTACGAAATACCATCGGAGTTGTTTGAATGGGTGGGGCTGGGTGCCACATATGTCAATCCCTGTAATTTTCATAATAAGCAAGTACATGAAGAAGTACATTCTGTTCAGGTGATAACTGAGCCTCAATCAAGCAGAAACTTTTTGCTTGAAATTAAAAAAAAAAATTTCTATTAGTGAAATTTCTTTTTTCTTTTTCCTTTTTTTTTTTTTGGAAGCACCCTGTTATCTAAAGAATCTTTGTAAGATTTTTGTAAAATTTTGTTTTACAAGATTTTATTTGAAATTGTTTTTTGCAAGATTGTTATATTTCTGTATGAATGTATTTTTTATTGGAATAACATAAAAGAATTCTTATCAGCATCTTGAGTCTGGTTGCTTTTTGGGGGGATTATTGAGACAAATTCCTGCTGGTTTAATCACTGAGGCTTCTAGGAAATGTCCATTGTCTAACTCAGAGCCATTTGCCTATCTCTCATATCCCTTCCTCTCAGCTTACCCCAGCACAGTCCTAGGATCCAAAGTGAAAGGAGGAGCCTGACATGGCTCTCAAGGAAGTGCATTGAATACTCTTCTCCAAAGATTGACAAAAACAACAACCAGGCTTTGGGCCACAGAAGGAAAACGCTTGCTGTTTATTACCTTCCTGTTACTCAAACCAGAGAAATCTATCACAGAGACAGCCACACAGTGAGAAACTTGAATTCATCCCTTGGACTATTACTCATCAAGCACATGTTTCAGCAGCCTTGCTTCTGTTAAGCAATAAGAGCAAGTCTTTTCTTCAGCCACCTGGCCACACACACCTTGCTTAAGATAGTACGGGAGTGGTGGAGACAATGGAATGGAGGAGGGAAGCCAGACCTGGAAGCTATTCCCACGTTCTTCCCCAGCCCTCTCTGTCTTAGCCCCACAGCCTTCGCTGGCTACCTCAGGAAAATAGGGCAGGAAGCAAAAGATCACCTATACTATCACAAGATGATTTCATATCTTTGTTTTCATTTTATTTTTTCTTTTAAGCTAAGCAAATGCATAAAATGTAGAGTTTAATAATAGGCAGCTTTTTGAGAACAATGTTCTAAATGAGTAGCTTTAGATCTTAGTCTCAGTTTTAATTTACTGTGTGGATTAGTGGGAATTGGTCCATCTATCCATTAGAAGTCCATTTTCAGTTTCTATTAAGCTAATAAGCAGTGATAGGGTAAAATCAATGTGCTTTCTAGAAGAAGGGTGCCTGTGGGGCAAAAAAAAAATGTCTATGGGAATGAGTTTCTTAATATTGCTCTTAGTTTGACTGCAAAGGAAAATTCATTATTTGAAATAAGTGCTCAATACTTTGCTTCATAGTAGAATTTGCAGTTGTCTTAATTTGCTAAATCTGTGGAGTTTACATTAGTTGCTTTTAATTTTATAATTGGGGAAGGGAAGCTTAAATGCATCCCAGATTAAGGATTTTAAGTCATTCTCTCTGTAAGTACTGTAAAAAACGGTATCAGCAATTTGACAGGCATGGTTTGGGAGGGAGCAGGAAGCAGATTAAATTTTTGACAGGATTCATGAGTATGTTGTGTTCCGAACACGTCAGGATGACTAATAGTTGAATTGCCCTACTGTACAGTCTAAATAAAGGATTAATAATGCATTCTCTGCTACTATTAAGACTTGACCACTTTGTCATGCAGGGACTATGCTGAACAGTTACGTTCAAATAAGGCTGTTATGAGGACTGTTGTGCAAGGAATAAACTGCAAACCCATCATATTTGTAGAAGTATGAAAAGTTTCAATCTGCGAAACAAATTTTTTAAAACCTAGCTGAAAAGAAACATTCTAGCTCTAACCGGCTGTGTGATTTTGGACAATTTGCTTAGCTGCACTGGGCCTCCATCTTCTTTTTGCTAAAATAGTTTGGGCTAGGTCACATGTGTCCAGCATTTTATATAGCACTGGAATTCTGTGGTCTGTGAGTACAGGGTGAACTAGAAATTACATGTTCCCCATCTTCAAAATGCTCCAGCTCAGACCTAGAAAGCTTTCTCTTGTGCTACAGTAGAAAGTCTTGTTGGAGGTAATTGCGCTAACCTAGAACGGAAAACGGAGTTCTCAAAGTGCCCTCTGCCCCTTTAATTATAGTTAAGTTATTCAGGCATTTGGTTCTTTACAACACACCAGTTTTTATTAAAAAAAAAAAAATTCTTTGAAAAGTATTTTTTAGCCTCAGTGGCTCCAAAGTCTCCCAAGTTTCCCAAATTTAATCAATCTCATTCCTTAATTCAAAGTTGACCTGTATATCCAAAGGACCAAGTAGGCAAATGAGAGTAAAGCTTCTTGCCTTTCTGTATTTTAATTGCTGTAGAGAAAGGACACAGCTTTCTGACAGCCACCATGAGCTACTTTTAAACGTTACTCCTCTCCAAACTGAATTAATCCCCGCCCCCCTAAGTTTGATCATGATGAGGAAGATGGTATCTTCTATCTCTTGTGCCTTAATCAAAAATTGTGTAGGCAATGTACAGGTGCGTTTTATTTCCCACAGTACTGAATCTAGTAGATCTTATCCCCATTTCACAGGTGAGGAAACTGAGGCCTCTAAAGGCTCAGAACTTTGCTGAGGTCACTCAGCGAATTCCATGCAGGTCTCCCTGACACCCAAGACCATGTTTTTAATTACCACCCTTCACTGCCTTCTATCTAGCCCAACCTCTCATGAGAAGCTTCTAATTATTTTATAGGATTCACAAAATGACTTCGTTTATGAAATGAAAAGAGAACTTTCTTACAATGCCAAGGCACTAGAGCTATAAAATGTGGTGTAATCCTGAGGAAACAAAAGTAACCATTTTGAATTGTTTTCAAGATAT